AATGAGCTCAGGACCATGATAGAAGCCATTAATGCTCAGCATAGGAAAGAAATGGAATCCATGAAAACAGATTCAAACATATATCCAGGAGATTAAAAACTCTATTGAAAGAATATATAACAGACTGAGCCAATCTGAAGACAGGATATCAGATATAGAAGACAGGATGGCAGTCAGTGACCATGAAAAGAAGGATCTCTTAAAAATAGTAGGGGAACATGAGAAATCACTCCAACAGCTCCTAGATGATACAAAGAATAATATAAGACTGATAAGAGTCTATGAAAAAGCAGAGGAAAGTACAAATGACATAAAAAATACTGTTCATAGAATTAAATACAAAACTTCCTAAACAGAACAAAATAATTTGACATACAGATAAGTAAGGTATATAGTTCTCCAACTAACCATGGTCAAAAAAAAAAAAAATCTACACCTAGACGTATAATAATCAAGATCCCAGAAACCCAACAGAAGAACAAAATACTAAAAACAGAGAAAAGAAACAAATCATATGCAAAGGAAAGACCATCAGAATTACAGCAGACCTTTCAACACAAACTTTTAAGTCAAGGAGAGCCTGGAGTGAGGTATTTCAAGCCCTAAAAGGAAACAACCTCTAACCTAAACTTATGTATTCTACAAAACTCTCTTTCAAAATTGATGGGGAAAGAAAATACACCCATGACAAGGAACACATGAGAAACTTGATGAATACCAAACCAGCACTCCAAACAATTCTAAATAATATCCTAGAAAAAGACAATGAAGATCACAACTTCATGAGGCCCCACAGAGCAAGTCCAGCAGGCAAGGCAAGAAATTAATGGGAGAGGGGGAAAAAAATTAAAAAGAGGCAACAATAGGAAAATAATAATATGATGATAAGTCATTACATGTCAGTTATAGCCATCAATGTTGATGGCTTCAATTCACCAATCAAAAAAAAAATAGACTGGCAGAATGCATTAAGAAGCAAAATCCAACAATATGATATATAGAAGAAATGTTCAAAAACAAACTCATAGACTGAAAGTAAAAGGATGGAAATCAGAAAGTAAAAGGATAGAAAACAGTTCTCCATGCAACATGAAACTGGAAAAAAGCAGGGGTAGCTATCATACTTTCAGAAAGAGTAAATTTCAAACCAAAACTAATTAAGAGAGACAAAGAAGAAGAGATGACAATTATAAATATATATGCACCAAATACTAATGCCCCCTACTATACAAAACAAATATTAAGGGACAAACCAAATATGTACTAATACACCCCACTGTCACAAATAGATCATCTAGACAAACAGACAAACAAAAAAAAAGTGCAATACTAGAACTGCACCAAGCTTTTGAACAAATGGACTTAACAGATAGACATCTTAACAGGTAAACATCTGTTAAGAGTGTTCCACTCCACAAAATCAGAATATGCATTCTTTTTGGCTGCACTTGGGTCATTATCCAAAATAAACCATATACTAGCTTAAGTAAATGCAAAGAAATTGAAGTTATCCCATGTATATTATCAGGCCACAGTGCAATAAAAAAGTGGAGATCAATAGCAAAAGAAACTGCAAGAACTTCACAGACACATGGAAATTAAATAACCCTTTCTTGAACAACCAATGGGTCACAGAGGAAATTAAAGAAGAAATTAGACAGTTTTTACAAATAAATGATAACACCAGTACAACATACAGGAATCTATAGGACACAATGAAGACAGTTCTGTGAGAGAAATTTATAGCAGGGAACACCCACGCTAGGAAAATAGAGCGAGTTCAAATAAACAAACTAATGAATCTTAGACTCCTAGAAACAACCAATGGGTCACAGAGGAAATTAAAGAAGAAATTAGACAGTTTTTACAAATAAATGATAACACCAGTACAACATACAGGAATCTATAGGACACAATGAAGACAGTTCTGTGAGAGAAATTTATAGCAGGGAACACCCACGCTAGGAAAATAGAGCGAGTTCAAATAAACAAACTAATGAATCTTAGACTCCTAGAAAAAGAAGAGCAAGAAAAACCCAAAGCTCATGTAAGGAAGGAAATTATAAAGATCAGGGAAGAAATTATTGCAGTGGAGACTAAGAGAATGATACAAAAACTCAATGAATCAAAGAGTTGGTTTTTTGAAAGAATAAATAAAATCAACAAAACCTTAGCTAATCTTATAAAAAAAAAAGGAAAGAAAAAACTCAAATCCATGCAATTAGGAGTGAAAAAGGTGAAGCCACAACAGAAATCTAGAGGATCATCAATACCTACTTCGAATACCTGTACTCTGATAAAATGTAAGACATAAAAACAATGGACAGATGTGTGACTTATTTATTTCACTTAGGAGTATATCCTCAATATGTATCCATTTACCTATGAATGAATCTAATTTCTCATTCTTTATGGCACATGTGTAAATACTGAATAGCTTCTCTGGTGTGAAAAACTGTAATAGTACATAAGATCCTAATGAGATAATTGACAATGTGAGAGCTAAAGGTGTAGGGAAAGTGGGAAGGGTAGGGGAAAGGTAATAAAGGAAAAGAAAAAAATGTGAGAAAATGAAAAGATGTAAATAAAGTGTTTGTAAATGGGGAGGGGAGGAGGGGTGAGAGAGGGCAGGGACAAGGGGAAAAAATCAGAACCAAGACCTGTCATGTAAAGGTACAAGATCCTAATAATGAAAGTAACTGTACTGTATACCTACAATGTACCAATAAACTTAATGAGGAAAAAAAAAAGAGAAACTAGAGACATTTATAGCTAAGTGCATCAGATTGAGGCCATACTCTTAGGTGAAATTAATAGGACACTCATTTGTAAATACCGAGTAGTTTTTCTGGTGTGATAAAGTGTAAAGAAGGATCAAAATGTATAATTGATATTGTGTAATAGGAAGAAAAGGTCAAAAGGTGTAGGGGAAGTGGGAAGGATAGGGGAAAGGTAAGAAGGGAAAAGAAAATATGATGGAAAAGGAAAAAAATGGAAACAAAGTCTTTGTAAATAGGAAGGGTGGAGTAGATGAAGGGAGGGTAGGGGAATGGGGAAAAAATAAGAACAAAGGTACGTCATGTAAATGTACAAGATCCCAATGATGAATGTAACTCTACTGTATACCTAAAATGTACCGATAAAAAATATATTTTCAAAAAGAAAAGAAATATATCTCCCGACCTATTAGCTGTATGATTTGCCAAATTCTTGTTTTTTAAAAATGGAAGTGTGAGTTCTAGGAACAAAAGAGGCTAAGAAGAGGAAGATATTTATTAATAGGAAAGCTCCTGAGGGCCAGGAGTCCTAAGTGGGTAGCCAGGGACCCCACTTTACAGAGGAGTTTTATAGCCTGAAACCCACATGGGTACAATGTGGGCCACAGCCATGGTCACCCAATAAGGTTACAAGTATGGTCACTTAGGTAATAGTGGGCCAGTTGTGAAACAAGGCATGTAACACACATGGCTGGAAAGAACAAAGATTCTCCTAGGAAGTTGTGGGTCCGGAGGCCTGTGGTCACTCACTGGGGTGGTTGATGTCTATCTAGACTTCATTAGGCCCAGGGTTTGTTCTTTGAGGAAGTGTGCAGTTCTGGTCACTTCATCTTCATCTTGAGGCCTGGTTTCCAACTGATATGTGTCCAGTTGCAGATGCAGTGTGTTTCGCCTTTGTCCTGACTGTCTGAGGACTAGCCCTATTTGGCTGCCCATAATATTTCTACCTAACTTGTCTGTCTATAATAAAATGATTGGGGTGAAGACCAAGAGGCCCTGAGTTCACTCCCTAGGACTGCAAAGCAAAACACAAAACAAAACGCCTTGAGAGATAATGCAGTGCATTAGTTTTACACAACTTCCAAGCCTGTTCTGTTTGCACCTATTTGGTCTTATGTCTGTTTTGGGGAGTTGGGAAGGGGGCTGCACTTGTGTCTTCTTAATTAAACTTTTTACAAAGTAATTTTGTATTTATTTCTTATGTGTATAATAAAATAAACATTTTTCAAAGTTAAAAGCACTTTACAAATAAGTAATATTGCATGACTGATGGGCTGAGACTATCACATGTGGGTGTGAAGTTCTGGAGGATGAAAGCCACCCTGTCATAAAAGTGTTTTTGGGATAATCTGCAGGCTCAGTAATGCACAGGTGGGTTCCTTATTGGGTCTTTTCACTGATCAGTTCTAAGACAATAGCTGGAATTAGCTCCTGTATTAGGGAATGAAAAAATAAATATCTAAAGCAGACAGATATGTATTACTAATCTAAGAGTATAAACTTATGTAAGGATCATCACAGCCTGGTATGCTGGACTCTTCCACTCCAGGGTTACTCTGAACAAGATGGCTCTTCTGAGAAATGAATGTAAACAAAATGTAGCAGTGGCAATGCAAATTTCAAAAGTCCCTATGAAAATGTGATTTGTGAAGGAATGCAAACTAGGACCATTCAGTCACCAACTGTATATTGGTGCCCATGGCATGCCTGGTGCACCTCTTGTACCAAGAGATACCAGCAAAGACAACAATCCAGTGTCAAAGCTTCTGGAGCGACAGACAAATACAATACATCATATCAAACACAGTGGCGAGGAGCTGTAACAGGTAAACGATGGGGCTAAGGTGGATCTGTTGAACAGGGGCCAGCAAAGGCACTTCTGGGAGGAAGTTGCAAGGAAAGCAGCAAGCCATATGCAGCTCAGTAAAGAAAGTGTACTTGGCCTCACGTCTCTTCCTGTTCCAGAAGCTCCTGGTGCTAAGATTAAGAACAAGTGAACATGTACCAATAGACATACGTGACTTTATCCTCTACACAAATACATTGGATTAATTTATATGCAGAGGCCTTATAACATGACAGGAAAAGCCAGAGTCCATGGCAGGCTTGGCCTGTTGAACAGGCATATTTCAGCTAAGACAGGAAGGAAGACATTGAGGTGGAAGTGAGTCACCGATTCTCTCTTGGCTTGTGACCAACTCTTACTCTCATATAAACCCAGAATGCTGTGACAAACCAGGCAGAGCAGACTCCACTCCCCGGAGACAAGGCACAAGTAAGTGATATTATTGGATAATACATTGATTAGAAGTGATATGTTCTTCACTCTTAGGGGTTTTGTTTTCACTGTTTGTGATCATCTTGTGACCTATCTTCACCATTTATGATCCTGTCTCACCTGGAGCCTCCCTGTGTTCAGGACCAGGTGGAAATTGGATGGCCAGGGAGATTTCAAACAATTCCTTTGGATTGATTTTAACATGGAAAATATAGTCATTATTGGAGGAAAAGATTCTATCCTCCTCAGAGTTTGTTTGTCTTTCACAATTCTCTCCAGTGGGTTTTCAATGGGAGAAAGCAGTACAGAATGCTATTGAATGGTTCATTGCATTCTTTTAAAAAAATTTTTAAGCTCAAGGATTTTATTTGTAATAAGTGCTATTATTTTAAGACCCATGCTGTTGAGGCATCTCCATGTTTTGACAAGAATCATACTCTATCTTTATTTGGTTTCAGAGATGGTATAAGAGGTTTCCCTTAGGTCCAAAACTTGAATTCATGGCTCCAAAAGGGTATCTCAGTTATGCCTCTTTCACCAACTCTGATGTGAGGCAAACATTGAAAATGGTATTCACTTGGCATTTCATATGAAAATATAGACTCCAGCTTGCTGATTCAAAATTAAGCATCCACTGCTTGAGATCAATAGCTGAATTTAAAATACTTCCACTTTTCTCTTGCTCTACAATTTAGTTTCAGCCTGGACTCTTTTCCAGAACTAAATCAGAAATGCCCAGAGACATTGGAAAGTGGAAAAATCATCTTCTTTACCACCAGTTGTTAGCTAATAAATTGCTACCCTGTGTCGGCATGTGCAAGAAGTTCTCTTGTGGGCAACAGCACCTTGCTATTTTGTATTAAAAAATATCAGTATCTACATGAATGGCTGTTAGCATCATGCTCTGTCACTACATTTCATGTGGCTTTATTAAAAAAATAAAGTAGTAAGGAAGAACTGTTAGTAAATTCACAGGTAACCCTTCTTTTTATTCTTCAAACTCATAGGTTGTTGCATAATTATTAGGTAGGCAAAAAACTGTGTCTAGAATTCCCAAAAATGTTTGAACACTTGATGTTTTATATTTTAGACTTTGGGTAAGACAATATTTTGAACTGAGTTATAAAATGGTTAACATTTACACCCTCATTTGTATCCCATTTTTTGGTTATCTCCTGAAAGCTTCATTAAGATGTTTAATGTAATAGTTGACTATGAGTCTCCTTTGCCAGAGAATTAAATTTAAATTGTTCTGACACAGAGACTAGAATTTTAAGACTATGACTTACTGCACTCACAACAATACACAAAACAGAACACTGATTTAGTAAAATTTAATATCATCTTAGTCAAAATTAAATGGCTTTGTCTTGATAATTTATATTTTGTCAATATCTGTGTTAAAATTGCTTCTAGAATTGAATACTCTTATTTTGTTGTTATTGTTGTTGTTAATCTGCTAGAGAAAAATAATGGCATTATATAAAGTAAAAAAGGCTAAAATTTAGGAGAACATAGTGGTCAAGACAGAACTTTTCAAAAACGCTATCATTTCCCATGAAAAACATTTACTTTCCAAAATGTTTGTTATTTGTTTTGCTTTTGCTTTTATTTTTTGAGGTACTGATGATTGAACCCAGAGCCTTTGCACTGAGATACATCCCTGTACAGTTTTGATTTTATGACAGGGTCAGTGAGTTGTCCAGGCCGGGCTCAAACTTGCTATCCTCAGCCTTTCATAGTGCTTGGATTCCAAGAGTGTGCCACTGTCCCCAACTCTGAAAAAGTTTAACATATATTAAAATTAACTCTCTGGTATTTGATGGCTACATCTATATAAGTTTAGATGCACAAATTTCTATCCAGGGAAGATATCAGTCATCCGTTCATCTGTTTTTGAGAAATTATTTATCTTGATATTTCAACAGTTCTAAACAGGCTTTTTATTACTGTGCTTAATTAGGAAATTTACATGGCTTCCTTTGGAAAATAAGAAATCCAAGAATTAGTATTTGGTGTAAATGAAACCTTTCAGTATAAGCAACCTTTCTACTTCACATATCTGTATTGTTTCAAAGAATATATACAGTTTTATCGATATGGGATTCTTAACATAGAATGATGGTGGACAGGTTCAGAAATGAAGCCAAAAGGAAGTCAGAGGTCAGCATGGGATGGATGTTCTCCTAGGCTATTCAAATAATAGTTAAATCATAGCCAAATAAATGACATTATTTCCATGGATGAGGTACAGTTAGGCTAACTATGGCTATTTCGGGTCTCCACTTTTCATTTGAAATTTAGAATCAGGTTTATTGGTAGATTCTCTTACATTTTTAACAGAAATAACCCTCTTAAATATAAACAAGAACATTTTTTCCTTTTGCTTCTTCCATGTATTATTTATTGGAAATGGTAAAAGGACCACCATTATCTATGAAATTGAGAAATATGTATGTTATATTTCTCAGAATGTTTCCACTAAATGTTCAGATTTAGTGAGTAAAGTTATTTGTAATGTAAACTTATGATTTTTTACATATCTATTTTACCTGCTATTTTGACCCCTTTTGTTTGTAATATTTGTGACTTTTCATATTTTTTTCCTCATATCAGTTTTCCTTGAGGTTTGCAATTTTGACCTTATTTTTATTTATAGAAGGAGCCTTGGGTTCCGGCGAACCACCCTTTAGTGCCTTTCCTGTATGGTAGGCTTTGATCTCCTCTCTGAAGGGGAGAATTCCCTCCCCAGTCTCCAAACTGAGGGTCCCACTGACTGTGTTGGTTTTCTGTTACTTTTGGGGGAGACTATGTTTATCTTGCTTTCAAATATTTACAGTTAGTTTTTATACAGTAGGAGCAGGATGACTTCGTCCAATTGCATGATTCTGAGGAGCAGAGAAAATTAAGTCACCCAAAACTGGACAAGCCCCCACTGTAGAAAGAACCCTCCCTCCCCATCCCCTTCCCTCTTGTCTTATTTTTCTCTCTCTCTTCCTTCATTTCTTTTTGAACACATACTATGGATCAGGCACTGTGCAGGTACCTCATGAATAACATTTTCATTACCACTTTTCAGGTGAGGGTCTAAAGTCAGAACGGGAGAATAGCCAAGGCCACAGATACGAATGGCCCCATACATTCTCTCCCATCACCTCTCTGGCCCTTGAACTTGCTCCCCTGCACACCTGGTGGGAATGCATTTTACCTTCATCCATTTAATTCATTGACTTGGGGAAATAAATGCTTTAACAAAGAGAGATTATTGCAACAAAGGTACAGGGGTGATATAAATATACAGTGAATGTTTACATTAAAAAATTATTACCATAAAAGACACATTGCCATTAATCCTCCTCAAAATACTTCCCCTACTTCAAAAACACTTATTCCATGTTTTTTGGCTACTCTCTGAAGCAGTTCTAATGTCTTGTTTTGAGAGTGTCTTTATGAGGTACGATTAAAAGTACAGTGAATGATGCTACCAGGTTCCATCCAACAGAAAGGCAGGACCGTAAAACATCTCAGTGTAGCCAGGCACAGGGGCGTATGCCTGTAATCCCAGTACTCAGGAGATGAGGCAGGAGGTTCATTGTTTTGAGACCAGCCTGGGCTACATAGTGAGTTCCAGGTCAGTCTCAACTACACAGTGAGCTGCTCTCTCAAAAAACAAACAAACAAAACAACAGCAATAACAACAAAAAATCTCAGTGTGTCCTGATCGATGTTGTTCATTAGATTTGGCACCATCGACTTCCAGCTCTGCCCAAAGTCCAAATGACCATGAAAAGGAAATTTTTTAACTCAGTTCAGTACAGTGAGGCAGCCATGACAGTGCAACTAAAGATACGAAGGAGGACTTCCAGCCCTGCTTCAGAAAGTGCACAAATGATGGAATGTGTGTGTTCAAAGTGATGGAGGAAGGAATTTTGAGGAGGATTAATGGTAGTTGTGCCTTTTACTATAATAAGGCACATTTCACATATTGCTAAGTGCAATAAGATGGGGAGAAATAGTCTTCTAGACAGCACCCTATACACTTTTAATTGGATTTATTGTGAATTTTCCTATCAGTGTTCATTGGTCATATAAATATTTACTTGAGATTCCTTCTGGGTTTTTGTTTTGTGGCACTGAGTATTGAACCCAGGGCCTCTACACTGAGCTATATCCCAGCCATTTTAAAAACTACTTTAAAAATATTAAAACAGTATCTCACTACATTGCCCAAGCTGGGGCTTGACCTTGTGATCCTCCTGCCTCAGCCTCCCAAGCCCCTGGGATTGGGCCTGCTCTCTTTTTTTTTTTAAATGCAAAAATCTTATAAAATGTAGAAAAGATCTTAAGAATCTGTAAATAATCCCAGATGTATTTATCTTTACTTACTTTTTACGTTATAAAAATGTGCACATATAACCTGAAAATATAATTATATTTTCCACTGAGGAAAAAAGTCTTGTTTCTTGATTTACAGTTATAACATTTTAAACTTAAAGTTAAGATGAATTTTTGCTGAGTAGAAAATATAACTGCTGAGTAGAAATATACAACTACAACTAAAACTATATACAATATAACTAAAATATAACAATACAAGTAACTACAGGAATGAACTACACGAGTAGTGCAGCTCCACTAATGAGTTATAACTGTTGAAAGAATGTTTTAGAGAAAAAAGATAAGCATTTATCTGATGTTCTTGAGCCTCTGCCATATCTTTAGATTTAAAGATATGTTTTCTGAGAAATATAGATAGTCACAAGCCTATTCCAAGAAGTCTTCAATGTCTTCTTGAGTGAAATACAATGTAGAATGGTGTAAATTGACAAATTAAAAACAGCCTCTTTGTTTTGTGCAGAATTCAAGAGGGGGACACTAATGTTTATGTGTTATTTGATTGAATGAGAAAAAGCTATGTTTACTTCTTAATGCTGATCATAGCAGACATATGGATCATTTTTCTTTATCCTTCTTATACTCTCATATCTCTCTCCCTA